GATCCGACTTTAGCAGGCATGATTTTTATCATCGTTTTAAAAGGAAAGATACAATAATATTTACTAGAACTGCACAGAAATTGCTTTGTCTCGTCCATTTGCTTGAAGAATTCGGTGTTTCTTCAATTTAGATCTGCTCAGAGATTTCGTCTGATTGTGTATTATTCAATGCGGACGGTAGTGAAGCTTCTATGGAATATCTTCTATTAAGATATTTTTATTTTAGATTACAAATTTTACTCTAAAATCGTAACAAATATTTCAAGTGAAATATTAAGTCGATTATAAATAGTGGAGCTTAGACAGTAAATTAAATTGAGAAACGAGAGCTTCATTAATGTTTATCTTAACTGATATTTGAAATGTGTACGGGAATTAAGGCACAACACAAAAAAACTGAGATACAGAATTTGAATGCTGAAGTAGACAATGATATTGGGTCAATCACTAAAAAGTCCGAGAGAGATCGTAACATACGATGATAAACACGCGGAAGAAACGGACGGGAATAAGGTCCACACATGGAGAAGAGAGAGATAGAGAGAGAGATAGGTTTACCCGTTCCACTCGTGGAATGAACATATCGGAAAGTTAGTTAGGCTAATTAACATCATTACTTAAAGGGTGGCTTAACTTTGTACACCCTCCATGAAGCTACTCCAAGTTGGGCTAATTATGTTGCTAACACCATCCACCATCTCTATACCTCGTATCAAAAACATTCCTTTCCCTGCACGCTCTACTAATTTCACAAGCCTAACCCAAAACTTCAAAGTAACACACACACGCGCGACTTTATAAAGCACCACTTTCCACGTTATTGTGACTGATTAAGTTCGAAGGCTGGAATTTCTGTTCATGCAGACCATACTTAACTCCATTAACTTATTTAACCGCACTTACTCACATACATCGGTTACGCAATACCAAAGTATAAAATATTCACGAAGAGTTCGAAGACCTGCAAAAGAAAGTACTGACAACCTAACAAATTCTTAATTCAAATTCTCAATAAGCATACCAATACCGACTCTGCAACATGGATCTGGTTAAGACATTATGATGATTGTCACCCAAGAGAAAATGTAATCCAGATCAATATCTAATAATCCCTTTCTTAATTCTTAATTACGGGGGGAGGTTAAACTGGTACAAACGAGTAATAATATGGTGACTAGATATGTGCATAAGTATGAGAAAGAATGCAAAAAGGATAAAGTAAATCATCGGAGTTCTTCACTTACTTCCGGTGACGAAAGAGTCTGATTTGACCTTTGAATTACAAGCAGTGCTACTTCCGTTAATGCTACAATATACTGTGTGTACAAATGCTGAACCATCGATAAATCAAGAAGGCAGTTAAGTGCTCCACAGTGAAACAGCTAGGTCCAGCAACCCGCATTACAGTAGATGGCCTTGATCATGCAGATTAATCTCGCTTGCAGCCTGTTTACAGGATGGTTACAAGCAAAACCTACTTTGTGCATCCTAACTCATTCAGAAAAGGCAAACAACTGAGAAATATGTGGACATCTATTCTCCCCACAGTGGATTTAGTTTCGAGGGGGGGTTAGCTTAATTACAGCCCCTAGTTGACCTCTTTCTCGGCCATTAGCTGCTGCAGTCCGCTACAACGGTAAGCTCTGAACAACGTGAAGGGAAATGAGAATGAGATGCGGTCCCTTTGTTATCTAACATTGCATCTATTGAAATGTGAGAATGGAATGACGTTCCGTAGAAGCTGCTGGACTGTGCAATCAACGGCTTGCAATTCTTGCAACGCGCAGGGTAAGTGAGGGCAAAGAGACATGGCATTTTAAAGCAATAACAACACAAATAATACAGAAATAAGCACAACTGCTTTACTGGGTATCACATGACACACTGATGTTTCAATGGTCAATATATTTGATTATACTTGGACTCTTACACACAACGCACTGTCTACTCACAGAAGGACCGGTTTCTCTGAAGAGAATTCTGATGTCACCACTTACCGTAAGTGAGCGGTGATGACATCCATCGTTGATTGCGGAAGTTGAACCTTTTCCGGGTTGCCCAGTGTTTTTCTTCGCCCGGACTTCTCATACACGTCTACTCCAACATCTCGGACCTGCGCGAACAAAAGAAAGACATAGCAACTACAGTACTTAGAGAAATGAATCCAGCAACGTCTTTCTCAACCTGCTTAGCCGCTCAGCTCCTTCATTATCATGTTCACAAAAGCTTACCAATGTAAACTATCCGGAGCCAATCTGTATCTTAGTATTCATTTTAATATTATCACTCCATTTACACCAATTTCTCAAAAGAGGTTTCTTCGTTTTTGTTTATTAAATAAGATTTGTATGCATTTCTCGGTGATCTTATTCATGCTACAAGCAAAACCCATCTCATGCCACTTGATTTGGTTACCCTAATATTATTTGATGATGAGTACAAGTTGTGAAAAAATGTTATCCCATCTTCCTTTTAGAACCATTACCCCTTTCTTGTGCCTAAATATTCTCCTCTCGCCCTGTTCTCTAACACTTTCAATATGTGGACTTTCTTCAGGATGAAATAACAAATTCCACACTGTTTTATAAAGAAAGGTAAAATTTCAGATTTCTGTAGTCTACTTTTACCATTAAAAACAGGGGACAAAGAGGTCAAAAGATTCTGAAATATATGGTAACAAACATGCCTTTAATTAGATGTATTCCCAACATCCTGAATGTAGTTTAGACTTGTTACAGTCGTTCCCACAAATCCGTATCTTAATAATACTCAGTTATATCGGAAAAAAACTCTTACAAACGCCAACATTTTACCATATTTTATCATTTCCTGAACAAAAGAATAAACCTCATCCGTTCTCTATCTTCAGGGTTTAACTAAAATTCAACCATGAAGATGGAGAAGTTTCTTCGGAATTCTGGTGTCAACCGACGAGCCTACACAGCGCCAAAACCAGATATTATCATTATCATCACACACATCGCCGTGAAAACATCAAATCTCACATATTTAAAGTTAAATTTTAAAGTCTGATGACAGTCGGTAAAACAAGTTCTAGTATGAGTTCGGTTCACAGCGTCTGGTAAGATTAAAATTACACACAATTTATAGCACACGACTTCGACCTCAGGATCGCCGAAGATAAACTACGGTAGCAACTGCCCGGACTACAGAGGCGCTTCTTATGCAAACCACAAGCCCAGTGCATTCTAATAAATTACTGAGCGAGTTAAAACAATTACAAACCCGGTTCTACACGAGATAAAACCTATTATCCTCTAACCGATTTAGAAGCTATAATTTTCATCATGTAACTAATGCTAATTAAAGTATTCGGATTACAGAACGAATTGGACACATGAAAAATGAAGAGAAAATTTTGGCCATGGATTTTGAAGGGAAAAGACCACTCGACAGATCTATCTGTACATATATGAAAAGATAATATTAAGATTGATCTTAAGGAAAGAGGGTGTGGAAATTCAACTGGATATATGTAGCTCAAGACAGTATCGAATGACGAGCTCTTCTGAACATGGTAATTGGGAAGATAATATTGGATTTGAGGTTTTCACGGCGGTGAGGCCGAATGTGGCTGTGTTATGAATTGTAGCGCTGTGTGCTCTGGTAGACATTTGCCAACGGGTAATGGAGGTATACCTCCATTCATTCTTGTCCTCGACACTATATAAAAACTTTACACACACACATATATATAAACCCGCATTTTTGTACGTCGTATTCTGCTGTGTAAGTCCTTTATATAGTACGTCAAACCCTGTCCAAGAAGTCCCGCTTAGTACTAAAATAATTCATTTCAATATGAATTTAAATTAAGAGTATGCTAGCTAGGCGACTAATTACGAACAGCAGAATTTGGTATTACAATCGAGACAGAAACGCTAAAATTAATCAAAAATCTCTTCCGTCCCAATAAACATGGATTTTAATTGGTTTCGCCCGTGCGAGATAAAGAAATACTGAATACATTTATCCCACTTTTGCAGGATACCATATCCGCCATGATCCACTCGACTCTCACGTAGGGGCGCTCTCCTCAAGAGTATCTATTCTTCAACTGTCTGTCTACTTTTGTGTGGGGTCACAATACCAAAGTACTTTGTCGGCCAACAAACCTCGAGGTATATTTCACCACTGTTAAGTTTAGGAAACACTCCACCAGGAATCTTGATCTGCCCGATATAGCCTGACTTCCGTTCCGCCATGTTACGTATTTTTGGTGCGTTTTCGCATCAATTTCTAAAATAAGAGCATAATATGACGTAATTTCTATCCGTAAGAATGTTTCAGATCTGAAACTATTGGACGAATTTTGATCAAACTATGTATTGGTGTACTGGGTATGGGAGGGGATAATTCACTGTAACTTATCAGAAGAATTCAATTTTCGATCGCACGTGTCTAACTTTCAAGTTTCATAGTTCTTTTCACTGACAGCATCACAATGTAAAGATATAGATGCAGAATAACTAACTGGTTTGAGAGCTATGTATCTTATTCTCTGCATGCATCAATAAACTAATAGTATACCATTACTTCACGATTGCAGGGGAGAATTTTTATTCAAGAATAATTGATGCTCTGGTGGCCTCTATGGTGCAGAAATTAGAGACAGATTATCCGAAAGTAATACAGAACTCCGCAAAAAAGTTCCAGTAACTGGAACTTTCGGACATTAGCGTGTTGAAGGGTGGTTCAACAGGTTACATGCTAGGAGGCCCTACACTGATACAATGGTGCCCATGTGTTTCGGGATAATATAAGATCACTGAAAAGTAGATGTACCATGCCCCACTGTACCAATTTAGAAACGTACCATCCCAACAAGCTTGCAAGCAAAACTGTTACTCTAGTTTTAATGTTTTCTTAGAAACATTTTTGTTATGTCCTATACAGAATAATTAATGAATGATGACTCTTAAAGGGTAAGGAAGGAAGCGATCGACATTTAATTTCTGGCAGTATTCTGGAATTTTTGAGGGATCGAGGAAAACCACGAGAATCCTCAATTAGGACAGCCGGTCTTCGGCCGAGATTTGAATCCTGGGCCTTTTAAGTAATAAGCACTTCACCACGACGTTTGGTAAAATTCAATTACGTTTTTAATTAACAGGCACAAGAACTATGAGTATCAATATGAAAATAAATTGTTCATAAGTGTCCGTTACTGAACCGTTTTGAGCCAGATTAATCCAGTCCACACTCTCACACCGTGCTTACCTAATATCCATTTTAAACTTGCCTCCCATCTATCACTAGATTTTCCCAGTGAACGCTTTACTTTTTTTTTTTTGTGGCTACGATGTATACATTGATTTCTCGACTCTCCTTGTTCCTGGACGTTCTATCCTCCTCGATTTAACCACCGCAATATGTTCGTCGAAGATCAAAACTTCGGACTTGTGAAAAACAATTACAATTACTTAGGTTAGGTTAGACTGGACTTGTCAGTTGATAATAATGGGTTTGTTTTAATTCGTTTTCGTACTACAAAACATGAGTCAAATTAAGGGAATCCGGTTCGATTTAGCAAATGGAAACAATTAATACAGAATGTTTCGTATAAGAGAAGGTAAATTGGGACAACTCAGTCTACCTTTGTAGTGCATGTAAATTACTGCCATTTAAATTCAATTTCACTTATTATGAATCGAGAAACAGCAGGAGCCCTACCTCATTGCGCGAAATGCAAATTGTTCCACCTCGTCTTCTGTTCCAGTCTGTGCGCATTAATTTGAACTTCGTTCCAGCAACTAAAATTAATTTCAAGCAGCTGTCTTTTCCACCTATAGAATGTTCAATAATTCACATCTATGTGTTACAGATTTAGAGATAGCACAGGACTTCGGCCTTCACAAAACACCACGCAGAAAAATCTACATAACTCCTACTATCATTCAAATGAGCACTCTCTTTAGATCTGTGTTTTAGGTGTTTTAACTTTTCCTTCAGAGTGTCTCCAAAATTAAAAGGAGAGACGAGACTTTGGAGCCGAGAAGTGAAGTTCGGTTTGCGTATGAGCGGTGTGCCGGAGTTGGTTGAAGGAAAACCATTAGGTTCAGCAACTAACGTCTGTTAGGTGATTAACGGAAGGGAATTAGAGGGAGAGAAAACTTCGGTCGTTCATTTTCCCCACGGAGACATTCCAACCAACAAGCCCGCCCGCTTTGCTGTGCTCCCAGACACTCGATCACTCAGCCGCTTCGGTTTTAAAGAGCCTTTGCCTATAGGGCTTAAGGAACTCTTTCTTCTGCAACCATGTAAGCATATTCAATAAAATCACAAAACCGTACAGTGGCTCCTAAAATAATATTCTGTGTTTTACACTCAGGTTTGTATTCAGTGAACGCTGTTTTTTTTCCCTGGGGATAAATGGCCGAAGTGTGAAGCTGACCACTCACAACACATCTAGAGCCGAAATAAAGAAAAATACACGAATCTTCAGATTGTGGCGATTATGCATAAGAGAAATTCAATTCTGTATCAGCTTCAAATATTTACTTCTTATCTGCTATGCTCTCACGTACCCACTGTCAGTGCCTCTGAAGGCTAAGGAATTCATTACACTTAGGATCTGGGAGGTTGTGAAGATTAACTGGAATGCGTCAAAGAAGGAAGATTACAAAAAAAAAAAAATTGTCCACACTGATCTTTTAAAATCAACTCTAACTTATAAGAATGAGGAGTTTAACTTGCTTCTTGCAATTTAGTAGAATTATCCGGGCAAGTAGAGAATAATTCTAAGAGTGAACACAGTGTAGACATATTCGAAACGCAGAAGAACGAAAAGTGCAAAACGGGATGAAACTGTATTAATTTACTTCATGTGTGACAGACCTTCTCGAGAAACTGATAGTCGTTCAGATGGTGAAGAAATTTCTGCCTTTTACAAAACCCAAAGATTCGTTTACGACAACCCGCCATTGTCACTATCCTAAGCCAACCAAATCTCCTCCGCATCCTCTCACCTGAAAGATACATTTTTTAATATTATCGTCCAATTTGCGCCTGAATCTTCCAACTGGCCACTTTCCTAATTACATTTCTCTCCGCTCCGTTGTGTTCTATTTTCCCCGCTCATCTTATCGTCCT